GGGTACACATACTGAGACAGAGGGCCGCTGTTTCGCTCTCTCGGATGCTTTTTCCGGTGAGATAGATTCTGCCACTTGCGAATCTGAAAAATTATAAAATCTTATTTCATACGTTTGTTATTTTTTTCTTGTTCCAATTTTTGGGGAAGCATGGCTTCCATTGGCATCCATGAATACACGCTGTAGTAGGCCTAATGACAATCGCTGAATGTCATTATGGTGTTTTTAACAGATGTCTCTTTCCTTTCATGAAATGGTGCGTGTACACTACTGGGATTATTTTGGAGAGGACGAAATGTACAGTTAGCCTACTTTTTGAAGGGATTTGTTTGACAGTCAGATTTAAACATCATGACTGGTTGTGTTCATGCCACATTAAAATGTAATACATTTTTGTCTTTACTATTAGGCCCATAAAAGCATTTTTGCACGCGCTAGGCTCCCAAGAATGTCATGGTATAATTCACACTCTTATGTCATAGATGTAAAAAGCAGGGTTGGAGTCTTTTCGGAATTTCTGACTTAAATTAAATTCAAACAATGAATTGGAATTGAATTTGAATTTAAGGAAGTAGAATTAAATTCAAACCAATTCAAACCAATTCAACTGAGATGTGAAACATGAAAGTGTCATTCATTTGTCAAATATTTTATAAAAATTATATGCCACTTATTAATGCAAAGAATACACATACCATTTCAAATATTAGTTTGATTATAACTCAAAGATGTCAAACAGTTTTTTTATTTGTCATGATACAGTGCCTTCGGAAAGTATTCAGACCCCTTCCCTTTTTCCACATTTTGTTACGTTACAGCCTTATGCAAAAAATTGATTAAATTTTTTTTTTTCTCAACAATCTACACAAATACCACATAATGACAAAGCAAAAACTGGTTTTTAGGAATTTAAGCAAATTTATTAAAAATAACAAACAGAAATACCTTATTTACATAAGTATTCAGACCGAAATTGAGCTCAGGTGCATCCTGTTTCCATTGATCATCCTTGAGATGTTTCTACAACTTGATTGGAGTCTACCTGTGGTAAATTCAATTGATTGGACATGATTTGGAAAGGCACACACCTGTCTATATAAGGTATCCCACAGTTGACAGTGCATGTCAGAGCAAAAACCAAGCGATGAGGTCGAAGGAATTGTCCGTACAGCTCCGAGACAGGATTGTGTCGAGGCACAGCTCTGGGGGAGGGTCCACTTGAAGTTTGCCAAAAGGCACCTAAAGACTCTCAGACCATGAGAAACAAGATTCTCTGGTCTGATGAAACCAAGATTGAACTCTTTGGCCTGAATGCCAAGTGTCACGTCTGGAGGAAACCTTGCACCATCCCTACGGCGAAGCATGGTTGTGGCAGCATCATGCTGTGGGGATGTTTTTTCAGCAGCAGGGACTGGGAGACTAGTCAGGATCGAGGTAAAGATGAACGGAGCAAAGTACAGAGAGATCCTTGATCCCTGCTCCAGAGCGCTCAGGACCTCAGACTGGGGCGAAGGTTCACCTTTCAACAGGACAACGACCCTAAGCACACAGCCAAGACAACACAGGAGTGGCTTCGGGACAAGTCTCTGAATGTCCTTGTGTGGCCCAGCCAGAGCCCGGACTTGAACCCGATCGAACATCTCTGGAGAGACCTGAAAATAGCTGTGCAGCGACACTCCCCATCCAACCTAACAGAGCTTGAGAGGATCTGCAGAGAAGAATGGGAGAAACTCCCCAAATACAGGTGTGCCAAGGTTGTAGCGTCATACCCAAGAAGACTCGAGGCTGTAATCCATGCCAAAGGTGCTTCAACAAAGTACTGCGGAAAGAGTCTGAATTCTTATGTAAATATGATATTTCAGTTTTATTATTTTAATACATTTGCTTTGTCATTATGGGGTATTGGTTGTAGATTGATGAGGATTAAACAACAATTGCATCCATTTTAGAATATGGCTGTAATGTAACAAAATGTGGAAAGAGTCGAGGGGTCTGAATACTTTCCGAATGCACTGTATGTTAGATTGTTCCCTTCCAAAATGCAGTGTTTAACCCAATGCATTCTGGGAAATGTATTTCCCCCTGATATTTAAAAATGAATTATGAATTTTTATGAATTCATTATTTAATATTATGAATAATTATAGACAACCCACAACATGATCTAAGAATATTTCCAGACCACTGTAATTATTTAAAATTGTTTTAGGAGAATGAGTTTTAAAAATGAAATGTTTATACTTATGTCAAAAATAAACATTACTATGGTGATGTAGAATAAATAAGCCTTTAATTCAAATTAAAATCAAATTTGGCTTTCTGTGGGGTGTGGTTAATTCTAATTCAAGATTTGAATTGGAATTAAAGAGCAATTCGCACCTCAATACAGAATTGACCCCAGCACCGGTGGACCTTTAGACTTTGGACACTGAAAAGCACCTAAATTGGAACCCAGTGGCTGTACAGTAACATCCTATACATAGATCTCAGGGTCTCTGCTTTACAGCTCTGTATGGGTTTTGACTGACAACAATTCTGAACATGAGCACCGCGCGCGACAAGAAGTTGCCCCCATCCCTCCCACTAATTGGGCAACTTTAGCAAATGTTTTGTTGTCTGAGTGAGGGAAATGCTGTAAATTACGAGGACTATTATGATATGGAAATGTGAAGTGCACATTTGGACTCACGTGTGTTTGGCTTGCTTTTATGACATCAAAGCAGTATTTATTATCATCCTCAACATCTCATCTTTCAAAATACATAAACTCATGTAATATACAGTGTCAACGTTTATGATCAGTTTGATGACATGGCGTTATACATTGGGTTGTCCTGAACAGAATGAGCCTATGTTTGTTGTATTGTGAATAACATTTGCCGCTGACCACGCATCTGAATGCACTCATGACTCCATTCTATGTGCACCAGAAATATCTGCTTCTCTGAATTGTCTTGTGAAGCATAACACTGTAAGATCGTATTTTATAATATGGCTAGTCATGTTGGCAATAGAACAAGCTTTTAAATTACTCCCACCTGACCCAGATTGTGATTTATAATGGAGTGTTTTTGGATTGCGTAAACAACAACAGTAAGAAACATTTAAATGTAGCCCTATCCATGTAGGCCAATTCCCATGAGTGAAAGGGGTTAAGACCTGTCAAAAATATACAGTGGGGGAAAAAAGTATTTAGTCAGCCACCAATTGTGAAAGTTCTCCCTCTTAAAAAGATGAGAGAGGCTTGTAATTTTCATCATAGGTACACGTCAACTATGACAGACAAAATGAGAAATAAAAATCCAGAAAATCACATTGTAGGATTTTTAATGAATTTATTTGCAAATTATGGTGGAAAATAAGTATTTGGTCAATAACAAAAGTTTCTCAATACTTTGTTATATACCCTTTGTTGGCAATGACACAGGTCAAACGTTTTCTGTAAGTCTTCACAAGGTTTTCACACACTGTTGCTGGTATTTTGGTCCATTCCTCCATGCAGATCTCCTCTACAGCAGTGATGTTTTGGGGCTGTCGCTGGGCAACACGGACTTTCAACTCCCTCCAAAGATTTTCTATGGGGTTGAGATCTGGAGACTGGCTAGGCCACTCCAGGACCTTGAAATGCTTCTTACGAAGCCACTCCTTCGTTGCCCGGGCGGTGTGTTTGGGATCATTGTCATGCTGAAAGACCCAGCCACGTTTCATCTTCAATGCCCTTGCTGATGGAAGGAGGTTTTCACTCAAAATCTCACGATACATGGCCCCATTCATTATTTCCTTTACACGGATCAGTCGTCCTGGTCCCTTTGCAGAAAAACAGCCCCAAAGCATGATGTTTCCACCCCCATGCTTCACAGTAGGTATGGTGTTCTTTGGATGCAACTCAGCATTCTTTGTCCTCCAAACACGACGAGTTGAGTTTTTACCAAAAAGTTCTATTTTTGTTTCATCTGACCATATGACATTCTCCCAATCCTCTTCTGGATCATCCAAATGCACTCTAGCAAACTTCAGACGGGCCTGGACATGTACTGGCTTAAGCAGGGGGACACGTCTGGCACTGCAGGATTTGAGTCACTGGCGGCGTAGTGTGTTACTGATGGTAGGCTTTGTTACTTTGGTCCCAGCTCTCTGCAGGTCATTCACTAGGTCCCCCCGTGTGGTTCTGGGATTTTTGCTCACCGTTCTTGTGATCATTTTGACCCCACAGGGTGAGATCTTGCGTGGAGCCCCAGATCGAGGGAGATTATCAGTGGTCTTGTATGTCTTCCATTTCCTAATAATTGCTCCCACAGTTGATTTCTTCAAACCAAGCTGCTTACCTATTGTAGATTCAGTCTTCCCAGCCTGGTGCAGGTCTACAATTTTGTTTCTGGTGTCCTTTGACAGCTCTTTGGTCTTGGCCATAGTGGAGTTTGGAGTGTGACTGTTTGAGGTTGTGGACAGGTGTCTTTTATACTGATAACAAGTTCAAACAGGTGCCATTAATACAGGTAACGAGTGGAGGACAGAGGAGCCTCTTAAAGAAGAAGTTACAGGTCTGTGAGAGCCAGAAATCTTGCTTGTTTGTAGGTGACCAAATACTTATTTTCCACCATAATTTGCAAATAAATTCATAAAAAATCCTACAATGTGACTTTCTGGATTTTTTTCTTCTCAATTTGTCTGTCATAGTTGACGTGTACCTATGATGAAAATTACAGGCCTCTCTCATATTTTTAAGTGGGAGAACTTGCACAATTGGTGGCTGACTAAATACTTTTTTCCCCCACTGTATATTAGTCTATTACCTAAGTACAACCTACATATATAGCAGTGTAAGTCCAGCACTTATTTTAAATTGGCTCTAGAAATGAAGTATCATTGCCTTGAAATACTGTCTGAATACATTTTTAGATATAGGACTAGATGATGACACGCTTTCTTCATTACTGTCATCATGGGGGTGGTGGGGGGGGTGGGGTCAGCCCCCTGTCGGGATGTTGTGTCCTGTAGGCGTGGTGACCCTGGACTCACCCCACCCAGGCTTTGACCCTGCACTCGCTGTGGAATGTGACCCCGGCGGAGGCCATCTTGTGCGTGAGAGGAGAGCAGGGGAATCATTAGTCCAATGCTATGTCCAAATAGTCTTCACCTGCTGGATGCCTGCCTCTCTCCTTCTTTAGTAAGGGTTTAACATTGAACTAATAGATGAAAGCCAAATGACTGATAGTAATAACCAGGAGTTTGTAGTCCACACCTGTGGGTAATTCACCTTTTTTCCTCTAACTTGTCTAGTGTTTCCAGGTCAGTGGTCATCTGCAGGAAGGAATTATACCATCTACGACCGTTGGGACATAGCCCACTAACTTTTGCTGACTCACTTTGTCATTGTGCCACATTAAGAGAATGCTTCCTGCCAGCCCCTAACACCCCTGGTTAATGTATTTATATTTTAGATACAACATAGAACAATTAACCTCACAGAGACACATTAATTTGGTCCAAGTACTGTATGTACACCCTTTATAGATCATTGATGGAACATGGAAGTTACTAGCTAAACCAGTTACAATGACGTGTACTTTACTGCTGTATGAAAGCCCAAGTAGGATTCATGATGGTGATGAATATGATGATGATAATGGGCGGCAGGTAGCCTAGCGGTTAAGTGTATTGGGCTAGTAACCGAAAGGTTGCTGGTTCGAATCCCCTAGCTGACTAGTTGAAAAATCTGTCAATGTGCCCTTGAGCAAGGCACTTAACCCTAATTGCTCCAATAAGTCGCGTTGGATAATGACTAAAATGTAAAGTAATGATGATTATGTCCACTGATGTTAACCTGTGTCTGTTCCCACCTCCAGGTATCTGTATCAAGTGTGGGAAGGGTGTGTATGGGGCCAGCCAAGCCTGTCAGGCCATGGGGAATCTGTACCATACCAACTGCTTCACCTGTTGCTCCTGTGGTAAGTGTATATAGGCTTCTGTCCACTACTCCTACTCAGCACCTGCATCATTGGCTGGCATCACAGATGTCCTGTATTTTCATATCTTAGCACAACGTTGATGTTGGTTGCCAGAGTGTCTTCTGGGAGTTGTCTACAGAATGCTCTATTGTTCTCTATTTGACAGGAACATGGATGACATATTGGAATGAGTGGGTTGTAGAGACGGATGTTGCAGTCAACCTGAACATTTTTTGTTTATGCATGGCGTGTGTATGTGTGTAATGTGCGTGAAGGGCTGCCCTGTCACCTGACACCAATTGTCCTCTCTTGTTTCAAGTGGAGACGAGGGTGAAGTCGGAGAGAGTTTGGAGCAAGGTTGCTTTCATTCATGCGCTGATGTACATGGATACTGATCCCTTGGCTTCGGAAGAAATGCATATAATTGACATGTAATTGAATACATATACTTTCAGATTTATTGTGTGGTTGAAGAATGAGGGGCAGTGTCTCTAATCCTGAGGTTTCTCTACAGATTCCTTTTGACCTGCTTTGAAAAGTGTAGTTGAGTCAGACCAGAGAGATATACTGTAAGTCTGTTTCTATTGGTTAGACATTATTGCCCATCTATAATGTTTTAAACAGTACAGAAAAAGCTGGAATACACTTCTCTGTTATTCAGAATTAAATAAGTTTGGTGAGATCTATCCAGAAGTGAAGCAGGTCTTCCCCTGCTAATTCTAGTGGTCTCTGTATATACAGTGGATATAAAAAGTCTACACACCCCTGTTAAAATGCCAGGTTTTTGTGATGTAAAAGAACGAGACAAAGATAAATCATGTCAGAACTTTTTCCACTGTTAATGTGACCTATAACGTGAACAATTTAATTGAAAAACAAACTGAAATCTTCGAGGGGGAAAAATGAAAAATAAAAACCTTACAATGACCTGGTTGCATAAGTGTGCACACCCTCTTATAACTGGGGATGTGGCTGTGTTCAGAATTAACCAATCACATTCAAACTCATGTTAAATAGAAGTCATTACACACCTGCCATCATTTAAAGTGACTCTGATTAATCACAAATAAAGTTCAGCTGTTCTAGTAGGATTTTCCTGACATTTTCTTAGTTGCATCTCAGAGCAAAATCCATGGTCCACAGAGAGCTTCCAAGGCATCAGAGGGATCTCATTGTTGAAAGACATCAGTCAGGAGAAGGGTACAAAATCATTTCCAAAGCATTACATATACCATGGAACACAGTGAAGACAGTCATCATCAAGTGGAGAAAATATGGCACAACAGAGACATTACCAAGAACTGGACGTCCCTCCAAAATGTATGAAAAGACGAGAAGAAAACTGGTCAGGGAGGCTTCCAAGAGGCCTACAGCAACATTAAAGGAACTGCAGGAATTTCTGGCAAGTACTGGCTGTGTGCTACATGTGACAACAATCTCCCGTATTCTTCATATGAATGGGCTATGGGGTAGGGTGGCAAGACGGAAGCCTTTTCTTACAAAGAAAAACATCCAAGCCCGGCTGAAGTTTGCAAAAACAAACATCAAGACCCCCAAAAGCATGTGGGAAAATGTGTTATGGTCTGATGAAACCAAGGTTTAACTTTTTGGCCATAATTCCAAAAGGTATGTTTGGCACAAAAACAACACTGCACATCACCCAAAGAACACCATACCCACAGTGAAGCATGGTGGTGGCAGCATCATGCTTTGGGGCTGTTTTTCTTCAGCTGGAACCGGGGCCTTAGTCAGGGTGGAGGGAATTATGAACAGTTCCAAATACCAGGCATTTTTGGCACAAAACCTTCAGGCGTCCGTTAGAAAGCTGAAGATGAAGTTCACCTTTCAGCACAACAACGACCCAAAGCACACATCCAAATCCACAAAAGCATGGCTTCACCAGAAGAAGATTAACGTTTTGGAATGGCCCAGCCAGAGCCCAGACCTGAATCCAATTGAACATCTCTGGGGTGATCTGAAGAGGGCTGTGCACAGGAGATGTCCTCGCAATCTGACAGATTTCGAGCGCTTTTTCAAAGAAGAGTGGGCAAATATTGCCACGTCAAGATGTGCCATGCTAATAGACTCCTACCCAAAAAGACTGAGTGCTGTAATAAAATCAAAAAGGTGCTTCAACAAAGTAGTAGTTTAAGGGTGTGCACACTTATGCAACCAGGTTATTGTGAGTTTTTTATTTTTTATTTTCCCCCCTCAAAGATTTCAGTTTGTTTTTCAATTAAATTGTTCACGTTATAGGTCACATTAAAGGTGGAAAAAGTTCTGACATGTTTTATCTTTGTCTCATTCTTTTATGTCACAAAAACCTGGCATTTTAACATGGGTGTGTAGACTTTTTATGTCCACTGTAGATGATAACAGGCCCATCTTGGCTCTTGAGATGGTTTATTTCTAACGTAAACTCTGTGATGTATTATTGGGTCTCTTATGAATGGGAATGTTTGCCTTTAGAAGCAGAGTGTTTTCAACCCCTCTGAGAAGTTAGTTTTAAAGTGCCTGCAGATGTCAAAACACACCTATGATGTATCAGGTTATTTGTTGACAAACTGTTTTTGTTTTACTTTTTGACTAAAATGCCACAAAAGTCAGGAGCTCCATAGCAGAGAGAGAGTTCAGTTCTCTGAGACATTGCTGGCTGGTAGCCTTGGGCTTTGTTTAACCATGCATAATTGAGCCCTCCTCTTGGCTTGCTCCTATGGTTGCACCCTTTTTTCATGAAATGGCCAGGAATGCAAACTACCCCCCTCCACTTCAGCCGGCCTTCCCATGAGGACCTCAATCAGACAGTCACAAAGTGTACCAGGCCTGCTTATCAGAGGGGGCCGGCCTGGCATGGGCTCTGAGCAAACAACACACACATAAACACACACACAGATAAGCGCGCACACACACACACCGATAAACGCACACACACATGCACACACACACAGATACACACAGGAAAATGTGTGTGTGAGTAATTATACGCTCACACACCACGCACACACAAACACACCCCCCACCCCCCAAACATACCCACACACACTCCTCATAACTTTACTAGTCCCAACTATACAGTCATAAGACATACCTCTGTGACCAGTCTCCTGTTTATTTCCTGTACTGGTGTTGACGCCCAGCTCCTGACTGGATCACCACCCACTTCCTCCTTCCACATACCCTTTGTCTGCTAGCTCACATGCATCCGTGCCTTTAATGGGGCACGCTAGTTATTAACTAGTTACCTCTATGTTACTGTAACACAACCTGCTAGTGTCTCTCACACCAGCCAGGAGAAAACAGCCAAGGGCCTTGTATTTCTGAAACCTGTTTATGATGCATTGTGGTTTCCTCAGTCACTCACCAGCTGTACCTAGCTGACTGGCTGGCTGGCACAGGGCACACAGGGCTGAGGTGTGAAAAATGTGTGAGAAAAAAATGTACAGCTCATTGTTGTGCTGCTATGGGGTTTTAGCTGGGGTATGGTAGCTGGCTGCAGTAGGTAGAGTTAGCCTGGCTACTCCCCATATAGAATCTAGTCATTCTATTTCTATGCTACTCCCTCATCTGAGTGTAAGTTGTGGGATCTGGCCAAGGTTTTAAATGATGTACAACCGCTTGGTAGTGTAGCCCCTGCTCCCTTCTGCCTTTGGCGATGGTTTGACTACTTGATCATGACTTTCGCTGTGATTTAGTTGTGGGGGAGTTTCTGAGAGAGACTGAGTGGGCCATGGTTTTATCTTAGCTCTTAATGCTATTAGAGAGACTGGGAGATTTCATAGCTTCTGGGTTTTCTATTTGAGAGATGTACTTGTGGCTCTGTTGTCTTAACTTGGCTGTTCTCTCTAAAGAGAGACTTACTTAAAAACAATTTGGAAGTAGCAGCAGGCCAGCACATGCTCACGTTGCCGGGTTCTAAAAATTCCTGTCTGAAGTCCCGAGCAATCTGAGTGAGTCACCACCTCCAGCATCCTTCCTTTACTTACCCCGGCACTGGGCAGGCCCTCCCTCCGCCTCTCCCTCGCTGCTTCCCCCTCCTCCCCCTCAGATCCTCACCCCACTGCCTGCCTGCAGGTGATAAAGGCCCACTTGTTCTGAGAGGAGAGAGTGGGAGGAGAAGGGAGGAGAGGGAGGAGTGGGTGGGTGGGGTGGAACCTGAGAGAGTGTAACATGCTTGATGTTTCCCTCCTACTGGAAGAACACTGAACATATGGGGATTTGGGTACAGTTGTATTTAAATTAGATGGTAATCTAGGACATTATTCAGATTTTTTACATAAGAAGACATTCATTCAGTATTTATTCCGATCTCATGTCTTGGTTTAGCAACTATGTTTTTTTGTTGAAAAGTTTGAAAAGTTGCCTATGGCCAACAGCCAGGTCATTAAAAGTCAGCGTTGTAGCATAGGGATGTGTTGGTATTATCATGGCCAGGCCTTGTGTAGTGCACTAGTGTAGCTGGCTCTGGATCTCCAGGGAGAGAGTCTTAACACTGACTAACCTAACCACTGTCCGTTTGCAGACTCTGCACCTCACAGGGCACAATAACATATCACTTAAGTGAGGCCTGGAGCTCCCCAGCTGAGCCCAAACTAAACCCAGCCTGCATCTCATTGTTGTGGTTTTAGGAATTTAAGATCAGTGAGGGATGAAATCACTGTAAAGTGAGGTCATTGTGATGTGAGGGGGTTGGAGGGATGACACAGGTCCAATAACATGTCCAGATGCCGGGGCTGGTTGGTACCAGGAGTACCGCCACCAGGCATCCATGGCTGGTCCACAAACTACCACACTGACCACATGATCCCAAGACTTTGATTGCTGGAGAATGACTCACTAAGGATTTTATTATGTCTCAGATCATTATTTTATTTGACCAGTGCACTGCAGTTTGTTGTAGTGCTCTAAAATGATTTCTGAAGGGTTAAATATCTAGCTGAGAGAATAGCTCCCATTATTTCTAGATGCACAGCCCTTTATGTGCATGTCTGTGAAACGCAGTGTCATGAAAACACGGAGTCATGGGAAACCAATGTTGGAGCTGTAAAAACTAAGTACAGTATCTTGAGTGTAAAATCCCAATCAGGGAGCCATTTGGTCCAGAACTCCATGGAAAATGCCACATGTCCCACCGTGCTCAGGGGCTGTGAGTTGAGGAGAAGAGGAGAGCCCTGAGCCCCAGCCCACTGCAGCCAGCCCAGCACTTTCCTCTCCTGTGACAAAGGCTAGAGGGAGACAGGGAGCCCTCCCCTCCCCCTCTCTATGAGGGAACGAGGGAGGGAGGGTGGTGGAGGGGTGGAGGGGGGGTTGAATGGGACCAACTAGTGACCTCAGGCAGAAAGAATGTCCCCGTTTGCTCAGGCGGCCCGCTCCCTTAGCAGTGCACCACAGTCAGCGAGCGCTGAGGGCTTTGTGTTTCACCTTCCAGATGCACTCGCCAGAGCAAAGGCCACCAGACAAACACACGGCAACATGCCCCAGCTCCAGCTCACTGGTGTGTTGTTGATTAGAATGTAATGGTTTTTACAAGTTTAGTCACTCTGAATTAAAAGAGCTCCTCCTTTGTAGTCCCCAGTCAACAGGAAATAGGTTTTTTCTCTCTCGTCCAACCTCCAACTCTAAATGCTAATAGTTTCTCGCTCTCAGTCTTAAGTCTCACCTATTGTGTGAACAGCATCCTTCGGCTGCTGTAGTCCATTTATGTGGATGTTAATATATTGCTATCTCCCAGCAATGTGACACTGTGTGTGAAATACAGCGATTGCATACATTTGGGTGTAAAAAGGGGGACATGTCTTTCCCAAGCCAGGACACCCATAAAATCAATGGCAGCTCAGGACAGCAATTAAATCTGACTAATCCTGCAGATTTATGAGCTCCATGCGCTCTGTCTGCTGGGCTGGGTTGAAGTCACCGCGCTGCCAGAAAGAGAAGAGACTGCTGCTGCCATTTAGTGCATTTCAATGGGCATGCATTAAGAGAAGCATCGCAGGGGGCGCAAAAGCCAGGGCCAGTGGGAGTGAGCAGTGAGGAGATCTTTCCTTTTAGGTGGAATTCCCTTTTATCCTGTGGAATGTAGTGCTACTGTGCTCAAGGAGCCCCAAAATGGTGACTTTGGGGAGGGACTGACTGTTAGTATGGCCCTGGCTATACCAGACATGGGAAAATCCTTTGCTCAGGCTTGTATAGTTGGGCTGTGGTTGTGTGTGTGTGTGTGTGTGAGCTGTACACAATGGCAGGGGTGAGGAGGAGGGGTGAGTAGGAGGGGGAGTTTGTATAGCAGCTTGGGCCTCGTCTGGATGATGGGGCTGTATTGATTGTTTGCTGGTTCTAAGTAGAAGGAGTCCCGTGGGGATCAATGGATGACCAGAGTATTGAAACATTAGTGTGGACCTCGAACGAGTAACCTACATTATGCAGTTACCATCTGCTTTTGTCACTGGTGTTTCCTGTTGACATCTGTTGTTGTTGTGTCTAATGGAACAGAGAGGAGTCAGGGGAATAGGAGGCAGAAAGTCAACTCCCGTGGTATTTCTGTTTGTTTTCAACAGAATAACAATGCAGTTTTGGATAATGTATTTCAAATATCATCAGGAGATACCCTGGGGCATTTCGTCATTGTTCAAAAGGCTGGAAGCACACTATTTTCTTGATGTATTAACTTTCTTATAGCCTAGGGGTTGGGTACAATCACATAGCAGCACCTTTACAGTCTTCACTTTGACAGGATCTGCTACAGGAACACTTCTCCTATATCCCAGCTCACACACTCTTACTTCTCTTCTTCAGGAAGGAGGCTGAGAGGGAAAGCTTTCTACAATGTCAACGGCAGGGTCTACTGTGAAGAGGACTTCCTGGTGAGTTACAACATCTGTCGTCCCTGCATGCCTCCTTATGCACAAGAATTCATGTTTATGTTATGTTCATTATGTGGATGTTCAGAGGTTGAGTTCTCCATATCCTTCATACACACACCCCTCGATGACAGACTTGGGAGAGGAGGGGTTGCACATTCTAAAACGCTCCAGAGGAAACAGACGTTGCAGTGCTACAATTAAAGTTAAGCACCACCCCTCCAATTCCCACTAATTTCCCCAACATTTCCCCAAGGAGCACAATTACCCCACTGCTCCCATCCCATTACTCCCCAGCACTTAGAATTAGAGAGGGAGGAGGAGTGGCTGTGGGCAGCTGCAGGCCTCAGACTGCCTCCTGTATGATGTATCCATCTGCCCAGGTTGGACACAATGGGAAACAGACACAAGTTATTAGCATGTATTGATCTCTGATAGACGTCGGTCAATCTAGAATCAGGTCTGGGAACCAGGTGCTTTATAGCAGTCGTTTTTGTCTTCCTAAAAGATACAGACTTATTGCTTATTACTACTGAATTAGGTTGTTAGGTTGCCATTTACTTAATGTAAATGATCACTCCATTACACATAGACATTGCCCATTGGCCCCTAAAACAGACTTTCAATTGGCTCAGAGGATGGGTGCTACGAGTGGTATTGGGTCTCCTCATGCTGTAGATATAAAGAATAGATCCTAAAGGGGTCAGATGGTGGATATGACAAAAGTCCCTAGCTTCCTCTGAGTATTGACCACCAGCTCTGCCCTGTCATCGGGGCAGATGGTCTGTCTGGGGGGTTAAAGGGGAAGCCTGGAGTCACCCTCCCCCTGCACCCCTCACCACCCCACCTCCACCTGCTGCCCCTGTCCCACCATTACCCTCCCCCTCCTCTCATCAGGTCATGACCCCAGGGTCATGTGCTTTGCAGATGGTCACTATGGGACAAACATAACGATGGTAATGCGTGTATAACTCAAATTTAAATCCCTCATTGACTTCAATGTGATATCTTATGTTCAAGTTACACGTCTTACCTCAAGTTCGGGTACATCCCCTTGTGTCTGTGTGACTCTGGTCCAGACTGTAGGAGACCACCTAGAGTAGAGAGCTGATGACTGGATGTGTGCTGTACTCTTTCTATTAGTAGAGTGCGCTGATGGTTTAGGACAGGTATCGTCACAGCAAATGACACTGGTCGCTCATATACGTCTCAGCAAAGAGAGGAGTCAAAGGAAAAAGGAGCAACTCTTTTCACGTCAATATAAAGAGAGCAGCAGCACCCCCTATAGATAGTGTCATTTAGGGCTGTACTCTGGGGCCCTACATTCACATTTTGGTTATAGTGTTTAGGGGTTCTCAAACCAGGGTTGGGGTCAATTCCAATTTTAATTTGAAATTCTAATTCAATTCTTGAATTCACTCATGAAGTGGATAATTTACATTGGATTCAATTAAAATTGAATTGAATTGGAATTGAATTGGAATTGAATTGGAATTAGACTATTTGGACTGTTTGAATTTAATTGGAATTTAATATTTGTACATTTCCCAGTTAATGGAATTAATGCACTTAGTATGTGGACTGCAGAATTTGTTTTAAATCATTTCAACTTGTATTTCTATATTTCCAGTATAGCTAAGCTGTCTGAACATGGACATGCCTGTAAGCCTGAGGGAATTGAATTTTCATTTGTGGAATTGTTCGGGATAATATTTAATTGGGAATTGAATTCTTGGAATGTCTTAACATTGGAATTGAGAATAATTGAATTATCTCTGAATTCAAAGACTGACCTACAATTAAAACTGAATTAAATGGAATTTACAGGGAGAAGGAATTACATTAGAATTACATTTGTGGAATGATCCCCAACCCTGTCTCAAACACTTCCTAAAGGTACCATCCTCTCTTTTGTAATGCTGTACTCCCAAGTCTCAACCAGACCCAGTTAACATTCACCATGTAATAGTTGTCCATTGCTACATGTTAGAATCCTAACAAACCCAGTGATAAGTCTCTTTTTAATCTCCCACAGTACTCTGGTTTTCAGCAGACGGCAGAGAAGTGCTTTGTGTGTGGTCACCTCATCATGGAAATGGTAAGAAAGAGCCTAATACTGTAGGAGGGCCTGCTAGATAGTGATACAAGACAATCAGCAGAACAGTATGCCTGTTCCTTTCTGGGCTTTCTCTTTAGCAGGACTGTATCTCTTCTTGACATGTGGCATCAGACCACCTAGTTTAGTTTAGTTTCTGTATCTGAATGCCAATGGGCTGGTGTGATTGACTCCTACTGAGAGGCCTCAATCTCTGGCCTTACTGTTATCTCTCTCTCTCTCTGTGTGTGTGTGTGTGTGTGTGTGTGTGTGTGTGTGTGTGTGTGTAGATCCTGCAGGCACTGGGCAAGTCCTACCACCCTGGCTGCTTCCGCTGTGTGGTCTGTACAGAGGGTCTGGACGGAGTGCCTTTCACTGTGGACGTGGAGAACAACATCTACTGTGTCAAAGACTACCACACGTAAGGACATGGGTCTCTTATAGATAATGCCAACATGTGATGAAGTCAGCATGCAAGAGTTTCTTCATTCCACAGTACTCTTTAAATCCTGATTTGTGCTGAAACTGATATAAATTATACAGCATGTGCCAAGACTTGACTTCTCCTCTGTTTCCCCAACAGGGTCTTTGCCCCAAAATGTGCCTCATGCAACCAGCCCATCCTCCCTGCTCAGGTAATGATGAGCCAATGACTGCTTGTATCCTGTCAGCCCCTGTCACTAGTTGTTGTCAGAGTCATATACAGTATATACAGTAGAGGGTTAGGCCAATGCGGTTCCTGTCTGAACGTTCCGAGATTGCCACTTTCTCTTCCATAGCCGTTGCTAAGTGATAATTGACACTTCCGTGCTGTGCTGTTTATTTCTGATAGTTTTCAAAACCTATGAAGATGTCCAGTGAAAGCAGATATGCTTTACCTACTTGGATACACATTATCCCGAATGCTAATCAATAAAAACGTCTGTTAAATTCGCTGCTCTGTTTTGCTAGTTTACAGCGGGTCATTTCATAGGGAATTGTCGGAGGCGCTCTCGTATTGTTACATCATCAACATTTCGAGAATAAAGGCTCTAACATGGCGTCCTTTCTAAAACCTGGCCCAACTCTCTTAATATATGGCTCTGGTTGTTGGTAGCCAGTGGAGTGGTGGAGACGGGAGGGTGTGACTGACTGTGTGTGCTTCCTGACAGGGCTCTGAGGAGACCATCCGGGTGGTGTCCATGGACAAGGACTACCATGTGGAGTGCTATCACTGCGAGGTGAGACAACGTCATTACTAGCCTGTCTTATTTATGTATTGAACGGAGCCAGCACATTGGGTATGATCATTAAACGTCTGTCAATTTTAGTGTAAATGCTATGGCAGTGTGGGTGTATGTTTCTGGATCTCTGTGAGTGTGTGCACTACACACACAAACTAAAGCTCAGTGAGGGGCAAACCAATGTGGTGACTCGTTGTCCAGGCACATTCCAGAGTTGAGCTGTGGGAGGTGGGAGAGCAGAGGGTAGGGCTCATAGCGTTGGACTCAGCTGGACATCTGACCAGGGGTTGTTGTTTAACTACCCTGGAATCTCAGCACTCTGACAGACCGCTCAGACAGGACATCATCCCATGTTATCTACAAACCTCAGTGTAATCAAAGTAATCAAGTCAAGTCAGCCAACACAACAGTTTAATGATAGCTGTGTAAAGTGTGAGTCATTGTAACCAGGGCTCAAAGAATGTGTGTGATTGTAAGTGTGTGTGAGTTTGATCAAGAATTCCATGTTTAATGGCAAAAGCTGGTTGACTCATTTTATTATCACACATTCCAGGGAATAGCTCATATCCCACCTAGGTGAGTGATAAAGGTATTATGTAGACAATAGGTAATCATTCAGCAGGCTCTGTGGGGTTGATAGTCATCACAGGGGTCTAAAGTCTTAAATATTACATATTTAAGAAATGGTAAAGAGCCCATATGTAAACTTGACAGGAATACCCATCGGCGGCCTCTCATATCAGTGGAGAGGTATCAAAGGTAAAAGTACAGTAAATGCCTCCCGGGTTCAATACCGGGCTGTGTCGTGACCGGGAGACCCATGAGGCGGCGCACAATTGGCCCAGCGTCGTTAGGGGAGGGTTTGGCTGTCCGGGATGTCCTTGTCCCATCGCGCTCTAGCGACTCCTGTGGCGGGCCGGGCGCATGCATGCTGACACGGTCGCCAGTTGTACGGTGTTTCCTCCGACACATTGGTGCGGCTGGCTTCCGGGTTACGCGAGCAGTGTGTCAAGAAGCAGTGCAGCTTGGCAGGGTCGTGTTTCGGAAGGACGCATGGCTCTCGACCTTCGCCTCTCCTGAGTCCGTACGGGAGTTGCAGCTATGGGACAAGACTGTAACTACCAATTGGGGAGAAAAAGGGGTAAAAAAATTTATAAAATAAGAAGTACATTAAATATCTGAAATATGTGTATTGAAAGTTCCTTGTTGAAATAGATAGTCTGGATAGTTTTGATATCTAGCACCTGCCCAAAGACATTGGATGTGTGTATATAATATTTTCCTTCACAAATGTTCAGCCACAGCAGTTTCACTGAGTCTATCTCTCTCCCTCTGTGTTGTAGGACTGTGGCCTCCAGCTAAACGACGAGGAGGGTCACCGCTGTTACCCCCTGGAGGGCCACCTGCTCTGTCACGGCTGCCACATCCGCAGGCTCAAGGTCCCGGTGCCCGCCCACCCGCCCCCCAGCTACCCACTACACGTCACTGAGCTATGAGAGAGCAGGGGCGGCGAGGATCCAACCCCAGCCAACCCCAAGCCACCGCTGACCCGCCTCCCAGGTGACTTGAGACAACATAGCATAAAGAAGAAGGAATACCCCGCCCACGGAATCCCGGAACTTCGGAACCTCTTCTTGCATGACAGAACAGAACAGAGAGATCCTGGGAGTCTTCGCTCTCTACTGGCCGGCCGTGCCCTGGGGAGAGGAGATAGATACGAGGCCATGGACAAGTCACAAGACCGGGCTGGGAGAGAGTTCACGTCCCTCTCTCTCTCTCTTCCATCAGTTTTTTCTCCCTCCTTCCTCCTTTTGGTCTGTGAACAGTGAAGAGGGCTGAGGCCCCAGCCCACCCAGAGGCCCTGGCTGACGTCAGCACCGTGACCCCTGCACATTCATCACAGTGGGGCCTGGCCTGGATGGAGGGAGGAGGCCACTCTCTCTCTATCCCTCTCTCCATCGCTCTCTTTTTTCCTCTCCTTCTGTTTTCTTCATTCCTTTGCGCTGAAGCCGTGTGCCATGATGCATTTACTGCTCCTCTGTCCATGAGAGAGAGAGAGCTGGACATCATCTCTGCCAGGAGGCTGGGAGGCCGTGAAACAGGCTGCTACATAACATTCCAGCACTGTCTGGCAGGGTTAGAGGGTTGGACATGCTGTGCCTTCAGAGTGGCCTTCCACTGAGAAACCTCACCGCACGGTGCCAGTGACAGTGCCACAGTCCAGCTAGCTACGGCTCCTTTTGGCTATGCAAGGGTACAGAGTCTACCAGCAACAACCGAGAGCCTTCATGTGACTCTGTGACACACTCCCCTGTACCATCCCCTTGCTCCAGTGCTCCTTGGCAAAGCGGATGTTCGTGGCACAGCATGCCCTGTCAGTAGCCAGTAGCCACAGCGCTAGCCTGGGCTGGCACTCATTCCACTTAGCAGTCTTAGAAGACGTGACCTCGAGAGATTCACAAGCAGTGTCTTAACGATTATATAACGAGAAAAAAAGTTTGAAGCACATAGATTGTCTTTTATACATGCCTATATATTTTGCAGACATTTTCCGCAAGATTCTAGAAGCGTAGTCTCTTTTTTTGCTGCATTATTATTAGCAAATGGAATCGGAGGCCAAACGAGCTGTAACAGTCTTAACAGTCCTCTGAAGGGTATTAGTCCGTTGTTTCAGGTCCTAGAGGCCTCTGTGTTGTCGGTCTGCTTGGTCATGCGATCCACAGACCTGTTAGTGACACTGGCTCTTAATTAACATGTACAGTTCCACACACTGGTTATTTGACCCATATGGTAGCACTGAGTGAGTGAGTGTCTGACCATCGAGAGTCCCCACATATCCTCCTCATGCACACGTTACTGTGTCATACCTACTGGTTGATCAGATTGTCTGGTTGGTTGTGGGAGTTGCTGGTCCAACCCGTGTCTCTGGGGAATCCATCCCCCGTGTTTTCCCTCGCTGGTTGTGCCGTTGTGTGTGTCTCTGTGTGTGTGTTAGTCTGTTGGTCTATAGACACTGAGTGTACAAAACATTAAGAACTGCTCTTTCCATGACATAGACTGACCAGGTGAATCCAGGTGATGTCACTTGTTAAATCCACTTAAATCAGTGTAGATGAAGGGGAGGAGACAGGTTAAAGAAGAATTTTTAAGTCTTGAGACAATTGAGACATGGATTGTGTATGTGTGCCATTCAGAGGGTGAATGGCCAAGACAAAACATTGAAGTGCCTTTGAACGTGGTATGGTAGTAGGTGTCAGGTGCACCGGTTTGTGTCAAGAACTGCAACGCTGCTGGGTTTTTCACACTCAACCGTTTCCTGTGTGTATCAAGAATAGTCCACCACCCAAAGGACATTCAGCCAACTTGACACAACTGTGGGAAGCATTTGGGTCAACATTGGCCAGCAACCCTGTGGAACGCTTTTGACACCTTGTAGAGTCCATGCCCCGACGAATTGAGGCTGTTCTGAGGGCAAAAGTGGGTGCAACTCAATATTAGGAAGGTGTTCCTAATGTTTGGTATACTCAGTGTGTATAGAAGTGTGAGTGTGTGTGTGCACTAGTGGCAGTGCCATGGTGCATGTACCTTGTTGAGTGAGCAGGACAACGGCCATCCAGCTTCACAAAACGACCCATGCACTCTCAATCTCTCTCCAACTGAAAGAATGGATAAGGCTCTGGCTCAGGCCTACCCAGTATCTGCTCACAGTAGCCTAGTCAGCGGTACTGTTCTCTCATACTACTGAATCTAACAGACAAGGAGGCTGACGTAGAGATTACAGAGAGGAGGGGCCCGCACAGGCATTATGTGCTTTCTGATGTATCCTTCGATGAGATTCTTTCGAATGTAATTATTAGTGTATGTTTGGCAAACTGTTGTTTATTTTCTTTTTCTGCTCCCAGTTGTACATTTATTTGCAAAAGCGAAAAATAATATGTATCCCTAGAGTACATGTTTTTGCTGGGAAATTCCCTTTGATGGTAGATAAACTGAATCTCAGCATAGTATGATGAGACTCCTAGTCAAGGAATGTGTAATATACTTGAAGAATGAGGCTATGGCATTTTCTGAACTGTAGTTTGAATAGTACAATAAGACCCACTCATTCATATCAATCTCAAATCATTTTTCATTAAAGCAGCAAATGTTTAAACTTGACAAGAGTTGATCCATTTTAAGGATGTCTTAATACACCTCTTTTTAAAAATACTACTTCTATTCCATTTCTATTGCATAGCACACAGCTAGTTTCCCCATACCTGTACATAAAGAGGCTCGTTTTTCTTTCATCCTCTGTCATAAATCACTCTGAAAGTGAAGCCTTTTCTGTCTCCTACCAGTAGTTTTCAATAAGCACATTATGACACCTCTGTCACATCACTTTTGTATCGCTTTTGTATAAGTGTTTGATTACCTAGATGGTTCATAAAAAAGGAAACTAGATTTATTTATCTAAACATGAAAAAGTCGAAAGTTATTTAATGTATTAAAAATCGGGACGTATCATTTAACTGTAGATTATATAATCTGCTTTTTAAATAAAGTGGTTTTGTAGCTAACTTAAACCAAATGATGTTGTCTTTTTTGTTGTATGTGAAGTCATATGCCCATTTCTATCCAAATGATGGCACTTTGTTGAACTAGAACACAAATACCTTGTTACCATACTATTACCATGTTATTACCATTTTATTGCATGCTGTAATGTGTAAGTGCTGCCATTGGACATAAATCAATAATGAAAATGTGGTAAACTTGGGAATGATATGGGAATGATTTAGCCTAAACTTGGGAGTGATATGGACAACTGTCTTTCCCATGTCTCCCTGTGGAGAAGATGGATGCTTACAAAGATGAAAAATCCCAGCTCTGGATGAAAGTCCCATGCTGTTGTTCATGCCTTCCAGTTACCTCTGTGTACTCAGAGATGTTTGTTCTAGAAAAATATCCTCAGATCAGAGCTACTGTAATTGGTGTATAATTACATTCCCGCACGCAAGTCTCTCCAGCAAGTGATGTGATGGAGGATCCCTCAGAGAATAGCCCCTACCGTGGTATGTACAGGATGATAGCTCTGGTCCTGACAGTCATCACTGATAGGGCAGTCTCTGGGGTATTGTTGGCTCTGGAAGTAAACAGTCCATCTGCACTTTACTGGAATCAGGGGCCGTATGTATCACGGATGTCAGACTAGGATTGTTGATCTAGGATCGTTTTCCCTTTTGCCCATGTGATGATATTAATTGTGATCTATAAGGCAAAACTGATCCTAAATCAGCACTCTTATTCTGAAACACTTAATACTTACAGCGCTAGACCCACACTACTGGGCTTGTCCTGGTTGCTATGTTTTAGTTATGATGAGTTAGGGTTGACCATCAACTCACTCAACAAGTTTTGGTTTTGAATCTTAAAACAAGAGAAAGAAGCATGTAACACACCAGACAATCTGCTCCGGGTCTGTTTCTGCTCATGTCCCCTTTGTTTTCTGTCTATAATCAGGTTTAAATAACACTACAGGGATTATAAACTGAATCAAATTAGCAGGCTGTCTAGATGAGCAAGAAGACGCCCCCCTGCGGTTTCCTATTGTACAAGTGAGAGGATTTAATGATTATGGGTATAATTTGACCAAGACGGATGCTTAAATGAATGTCCTGTTGGACTACATTTGTGCCAATTGGAGCGTAAAGTAGGATGATTACTGTAATGCTCCTCTTAAACTCTTAAGTGTGTGAATCCCCCAGCTCTATAATACCTCACAATAACCACAAGCCTGGAGGAGCCACCTCAAGTACACTGTACAAACACCACACAGTCGCACATTGGGCCTGTGGAGATTTGGTTTCCAAAGAAGTGGTGTTTGATATATTTTTCTTTATCACAGTCTCTGAGGTTGTTAAGTGTGTGTCTGTGCTCCCAATTGACAATTTATCATTGATCTTTTGGCATTACATTAGGTCATAAATAAGCACATAATCAGATACTTTGAAATCAAAACTGTTTATTCACTATTTGCTGTGATTGCAGCATGAGATTCTCTGAGATGACTTGTATTACTTCATATGGGTCATGTCATGCTCATGATTAGATGTTTATAGAAAAGTAATAATAATACCATATTACATTTGTAAAGCACTTTTCATTAAACAAGAAAAATCTCAAAGTACATAAAATAAAATATAAAATAAAAATAATACAATGACTATGAGGTTAAAGTGCCGACTGTCAGCTTTAATTTGAGGGTATTTCCATCCATATCGGGTGAACCATTTAGAAATTACAGCACTTTTTGTACATAGTCCCCCCCCCCCATTTTAGGGGACCAAAAATATTGGGACAAATTCACTTATACTGTATGTCTATTGAAGTAGTCAAAAGTTAAGTATTTGGTCCCATATTCATAGCACACAATGACTACATCAAGCTTGTGACTCCACAAATTTGTTGGATGCATTTGCTGTTTGTTTTTATTACTTTTCACATTATTTTG